TGGTTAAGCACAATTTTTAAATATTAAAAGTATTGCGATCAAAACAAAGCAATCAAATGTCATGCTATTTTTTCAAAAAAATACTGGATAACATTATCCGCATCTACCTACATTTAGGGTCGGAAAACAACTTTAAAAAGTGATATTCACCACAGGGCATACTTAATTAAAATAAAATACGATTAATTCTTTTATAATTTATCAGAACAATGACCCGTATTTATAAAAGAGAAGCATATCCTCGGAAGCATAAGGTGAAAGTATAAGGTCTTGCTACGGAGAAAAGGGCAGAAGTATAAGCATATCTTTGTTTTCATATTCATAATGATTACCTTATACTCGCGAGGATATCCTCCAAGAAGAAGTAAAAGGTTTACTGGTATTTGTATGTTGAGCTTGCAGAATAGGTCACAATTCGTATGGTTAACATAAATATAGGCGTACCACAAGGATCTATATTGGGGACAGTGCTGTTTTCCCTTAATATAAATAACCTGGAGCAATGTTTCCCTGAAGCACATTTCACGTTGTATGCAGACGATGACTCCATCATTATATCAAATAAAGACGAGGCTGATTTAATAAATAAATGTAACACCTTAGTGTACAACATCAATAGCTGGTTTGAAGAAAATCGGTTACTTCTTAATAGCGAGAAGACCACAGTTATAAGGTTCCATAACATTCAAAAGTCGATACCAGCGATTCAGCTTGTTCTGAACGGTTCAGCACTGCAGAGTGATAAAAGCACTAAGTTTTTAGGGCTCCACTTAGACCAATGTCTCAACTTTAAAGGACATTGCGATTATCTATCATGAAAAATAAATTCACAAGCATATTTATTCAAGAACCTGAGATCTGTTTTCACAGAGAATCAGCTATTGATGTTGTATCATGGTCAGGTTGAGTCTCGCATGCTGTATGCTTTGTGCTTCTGGGGTTCATCGGTGAACGCTTCTAAGGTGTTCCTAAGTCAAAAACGGCTGGTGAGGTGTATGGTGGGAGTAAGCAGCACTTATAGTTGCAGAGAATTATTCAAGAGATTAAAAATAATGACACTGCCTTCGCTTTTTCTCTACAATATGGCTATCTATACTTTTTTAAACAAAGATGATTTCACCTTGAATAGTCATATACATCAAATGGGCACTCGCAGATAAAACGACATCTATATACCTTCTGCGCGTTATAAGTTAGGCAGCAGATCACCATGTATTTTAGGTCCTAAAATTTTTAACAACCTGCCTGACTTCATAAACAGGATCACCTCAATATGCCAATTCAAATCTGAGCTGAAAAGCTACTTTATAAGTAACTGTTTTTATGCAATTAGCGACTTTGTCAGTTTTTAAATATCGTTTTTTATCACTAATTTTAACTTGTTTGTTGTTGGATGTTATTTGTTTGTTTTTTTACTTATTTATTCACTTTGTACATATTTACTTATTGTATCTTTTTGACGAAACCTATACATGTTCATGCATGTCTTATGGAAAATAAATTCATTATTATTATATTATTATTATTATGATGCTCGTATATGGAAAAATTCGGCTGTGTGTGAAGTAATGAAAAAGTCAAGAAAGACTATTCTTCTAGGGGACCCCACCGACCCCCACGAGGAATATCAGAGAGTCTTTAACAGGCTGCTTACATCAAAGCGAGTTGTGATTGAGCATACATTTGGGCAAGTAAAGCGGCGATTTCCTATCCTGAAGTATGGATGCAGAGTAAAACTGACCAGTATTCTAAAAGTTGTAATTGCGTGTGCTGTGTTGCACAATATAGCTAAGCAATTAAGAGGGGGGCTTTTTCGTTTGATGCCACGTTTAAATTTTTCAGCTTGGCAGAGTAATATTGTTGTTGGAGACGAGCAACTTTCAGCTGTTCAACTAAAACTAATCGTTGAAGCTGGGCTGCCTTGTCTCGTCAGACTCTCGTTTGCCCGAAGCACAGGTAGGCTTCGGAGGAATTTTTTTTGCAGCAACCTCCTCAACCGATGTGTAGGATCGCTTTTGTTAGCTACTACTTGAGGCATAATCATCTGATGAGCGTCGTTTTCCACCATAATGTCATCCTTTGAAATAGGTAAAGAAGGTTGACTTGCCACGCCAATTGCAAGAGCCCCTAATACAAATAAACATGCATGATAAGTACCTACAAGGTAATAGTAAAGACATGAATCTATTTCTCACCTGGTACCCGAATTAGTACAGGATTTATGTCCGCATCCATAGCCTTTAACATAACTTTCTCCCAGGACAAAAGACGAATGGGCTTGATCCCTGTTTTATTTTTGTCAGTTTTATTTTTCAGTCGCGTTTTCATATTGTTCACTTTTTTCATTCAAGTTTTAATATCCATCTCATTGCCAAATAAAGTAACGTATTCCTTAACGATGTCAGTTAATGCAGCAGTTTTCTTCTTTTTCATCGCTGGAACTTGAGATTTCTCGAGAATCTCCGGAAATGCTTGGACTTTTTCAGCGATAAACATCATCTTGTTAGGGGCATCTTCGGTAACTTTCTGTTCACCTATCGGTGTCAGACATTTTAAATATTTTATTCACTTTAAAATAGCTGCACAAACAAGTTAGATGGATCTTCTTTACATCAATTGACGTGCTTTAATATCCATCTCCTTGCCAAATAAAGTAACGTATTCCTTAACGATGTCAGTTAATGCAGCAGTTTTCTTCTTTTTCATCGCTGGCACTTAAGATTTCTCGAGAATCTCCGGAAATGCTTGGACTTTTTCGGCGATAAACCTCATCTCGTTAGGGGCATCTTCGGTAACTTTCTGTTCGCTATCGGTGTCAGACATTTTAAATATTTTATTCAGTTTAAAATAGCTGCACAAACAAGTTAGATGGATCTTCTTTACATCAATTGACGTGCTTTAATATCCATCTCCTTGCCAAATAAAGTGACGTATTCCTTAACGATGTCAGTTAATGCAGCAGTTTTCTTCTTTTTCATCGCTGGCACTTAAGATTTCTCGAGAATCTCCGGAAATGCTTGAACTTTTTCGGCGATAAACCTCATCTCGTTAGGGGCATCTTCGGTAACTTTCTGTTCGCTATCGGTGTCAGACATTTTAAATATTTTATTCAGTTTAAAATAGCTGCACAAATAAGTTAGATGGATCTTCTTTACATCAATTGACGTGCTTTAATATCCATCTCCTTGCCAAATAAAGTAACGTATTCCTTAACGACGTCAGTTAATGCAGCAGTTTTCTTCTTTTTCATCGCTGGAACTTGAGATTGCTCGAGAATCTCCGGAAATGCTTGGACTTTTTCAGCGATAAACATCATCTTGTTAGGGGCATCTTCGGTAACTTTCTGTTCGCTATCGGTGTCAGACATTTTAAATATTTTATTCAGTTTAAAATAGCTGCACAAATAAGTTAGATGGATCTTCTTTACATCAATTGACGTGCTTTAATATCCATCTCCTTGCCAAATAAAGTAACGTATTCCTTAACGACGTCAGTTAATGCAGCAGTTTTCTTCTTTTTCATCGCTGGAACTTGAGATTGCTCGAGAATCTCCGGAAATGCTTGGACTTTTTCAGCGATAAACATCATCTTGTTAGGGGCATCTTCGGTAACTTTCTGTTCGCTATCGGTGTCAGACATTTTAAATATTTTATTAACTTTAAAATAGCTGCACAAACAAGTTAGATGGATCTTCTTTACATCAATTGACGTGCTTTAATATCGATCTCCTTGCCAAATAAAGTAACGTATTCCTTAACGATGTCAGTTAATGCAGCAGTTTTCTTCTTTTTCATCGCTGGCACTTAAGATTTCTCGAGAATCTCCGGAAATGCTTGGACTTTTTCGGCGATAAACCTCATCTCGTTAGGGGCATCTTCGGTAACTTTCTGTTCGCTATCGGTGTCAGACATTTTAAATATTTTATTCAGTTTAAAATAGCTGCACAAACAAGTTAGATGGATCTTCTTTACATCAATTGACGTGCTTTAATATCCATCTCCTTGCCAAATAAAGTAACGTATTCCTTAACGACGTCAGTTAATGCAGCAGTTTTCTTCTTTTTCATCGCTGGCACTTGAGATTTCTCGAGAATCTCCGGAAATGCTTGGACTTTTTCAGCGATAAACATCATCTTGTTAGGGGCATCTTCGGTAACTTTCTGTTCGCTATCGGTGTCAGACATTTTAAATATTTTATTCAGTTTAAAATAGCTGCACAAACAAGTTAGATGGATCTTCTTTACATCAATTGACGTGCTTTAATATCCATCTCCTTGCCAAATAAAGTAACGTATTCTTTAACGATATCAGTTAATGCAGCAGTTTTCTTCTTTTTCATCGCTGGAACTTGAGATTGCTCGAGAATCTCCGGAAATGCTTGGACTTTTTCAGCGATAAACCTCATCTCGTTAGGGGCATCTTCGGTAACTTTCTGTTCACTATCGGTGTCAGACATTTTAAATATTTTATTAACTTTAAAATAGCTGCACAAACAAGTTAGATGGATCTTCTTTACATCAATTGACGTGCGAACCGCTTTTAATTATGAGACAAATAAGATCAACCCCATCAGTTACAGACCACATACGCGTTCATTGCACGCTGCAAGTCATATCTTGTCGAAATCGCTAATCTCCGTACCTTTTACTTTATTTTTCCGAAGCATTTGCTTGCAAGGAAGAGGTAGAGATTATGAATACGAATTACTTCTACCTTTTGCTTGTACCCTAGTAAATGCTTCATTTTTATAAATACAAGCTATTATCATTTCTTTTATTTCTAATATGCTCTAGCTTGAAAACAAAGCCATTGCGGACCCATGTTCATATAGAAACTTCGTCTTTAAATTGACCAAGCATTCGATGGTTAAAGTTTGTCTACATACTTTATTAGCACCCTGTATATTACAGTGGCCCTTCTTTCATTACTAACACCCTGTCTACGTATTTTTCATCAACAATATTTTACTGAGGCAATGTACCTGACGTCAATTTTCGTTTCAGTGATAGCAACTGTGAAAGAGCCTGTATCTGGTTGGATAGACAACGTATACGGCGCGACTGGAGTACTGTTGGGAGTTGCAATGGGACTGCTCAGGGTACTGCGATGTGGCAAAGACAACAAGGCGGACATGGTACCCGCTGACTATGTAGTGAACAGTTGCTTGGCGGTTGCGTGGGACGTGGCGTCTATGAAGTAAGTACAGGGTGGCCGATATCTAGCTGAAGATTTGCGAAATGAAATTTTTCATCTTAATCTTTTATTGAAACTTGGAAATTATGTGTGAAAAATAATATGCAAGGGTGGGTTCTCGATGAGTAAATAATGGTAGATTCGAGAGAGTATACTTTATCTGAAGTCACTTGAAACACTGTGAAATACCGGGTGCGTTTTATATATCTATATTTAACACGCTCTGTTGCTGCAAAAATCGCCAAATTTCGCAGCAAATATCCCCCGTATAAGAGATCAAAGGCAGTTTCACCGGTCCACGTGGAGTAAAGCATGCCTATGCGTGGACATAGCCAATGAGAAAGCGTGTATTTCAGAGCTAGGAACAAGTGCAGGTGGCTACTGAAAATTGAAACAGTTTAGCCAGTGCCGTGTAGCGGTGAATAAACGTGTTTTCTTTAGTCTGTCCGTGTTTTTTCATAGATTTTATTAGTTTGTGTGTTTTTGACTTTTGAATACTCAGTTTACTTGTTGATTTAATTGTTCTTGTGTGTCCTAAATATGGCTCTTTGGAGACCTTGGGAAAATGCTCCAAGCCACGAGGAGATGGTTGATGAACCTGTGCAGGCAGAATTCTTTCATAAAGATTTAGAGGAACAGACCCAAAGAGTAATCCTAAATATGTATGATTGCCTGAAAAACGAAAATCCAGATTCCTCGCAAAATCAAATTTTAAACAGAATTTGTATCCTGACAAAAATCAGTCGGTCTACCATTTATCGGGTTATAAAAAGGGGAGATGTAGTCAACCATTCCTTCCACAGAAAGCGCATAGGGCAAAAATTAAAAAGAATAGACGCGGGTTTTCAGGAAGATATTCGTCGTATAACATACGGATTTTATAAAGAAAATTTGGTGCCCACGTTGGAAATGATACGGGATAAATTAAAAGATTATCCTGAAGATTTTTATAATTACAAATGCTTAGACTCACTGCACTGTATTGTAAAACTGTGTAGTTTTCAATACAAAAATTAGATAAAAGAATGGTGATTATGGAGTCGTCTCGAATCGTTGAATTGCGCCAAGAATTTTTGCACAAAGTTAAAATCTATAGAGAGCAGAAAAGAAACCTGATTTACCTGGATGAAACGTGGTATGATACCCATGATGTTGTGCAGTACGGCTGGGTTGACGACAGCAACAAGTGCATTTTAAATGCACCATGCAGCCGTGGAAAACGAATCATTATTCTCCATGCTGGCAGTGAAAATAGATTTATACCTAATGCCTTGCTGTTATCTGCCAAAAATATCAAAGAATCATATGCCGACTATCATGAGGACATGACCTCCGACTTATTTGAAAAGTGGATAGAGCAGCAGTTAATACCAAACATTTCCCCAAATTCAGTGATTATTATGGACAATGCGCCATACCATTCCCGACAGAAAAAACAAAATTTCGAATACAGGCACAAAAAAACAAGACATTATTGATTTTATGACGGATAAGGGAATGGAAATCCCACAAAAATCAACCAAAGCCATATTATTGGATCTTATTAAAAGACAAAAATTTGAAAAAGAGTATGTTGTTGACAATCTGCTTCAGCAAAATGGCCATGAAGTATTACGTCTACCTCCCTATTACTGCATTTTTAACCCGATTGAGTTGGTCTGGGCTGCTTTAAAAAAAAGTAAGAAAACATAATCAGACCCCTCGATTAAGTGAATCGCTATTGGCCACAATAAGAGATGCAGTGTCTCATATTGCTGCCACAGACCTATGGAAGCAGTGTTCTAGGCATATTATTGAAAAAGAAAATGAATATTGTGTTTTGCCTCCTGTTAATCCCGTTGTAATTCCTCTACAAGATGACTCTAGCGACAGCTCCGAAGGCGAGGATGGTATATAAATACCTATAATGTAAGTCTTTATATACCTTTTTATATACCTACCTGCTATGTAAATATTTGCCTATGTCAAACGTTGGAATTCTGTAATTTTTCCATTTCTTAACTTTCAGTCAACATAAATTAAACTCCCAATATAACTATTTTTTATCCCAAATCAAAAAAATAAGAAGATAGTAAAATCCATTTCTTGTGATATAAAAACATTATTATTATCGTTCTAAATAAATGCCGCACGCCTATGATACGTCATGAAATTACAAAGGACGCGCCGACCAAAGGTTTTTATGCTATTTCAAGTGACTTCAGATACACCATACACGATTTATTGAATCTCACAAAACACAGCAATTCCAAGCAAAACTTAAAAGAATAGATAAATCGCGACTCTGCCCCATCGCGTGTCCAGGGTCGACTGGCTGCCCAAATCCTCCCATAGTTGCCAAGTGTCCCTTGCACATTCACCTTATCGTCACACACATCACTAAACCATCACAAATATCAGACAAGAAGCCGCGCAAACCTGAGCCTCTTGATAACATTTTCGATCACTTTTTGGTCGGTTTCGGGAGGAATATTTTCAATCGCTTCCGTAATATTGTTCTTCAGCTGCTCTACAGTATTTGGTTTGCTGTCATAAACCCTATTTTTCAAAAATCCCATAAAAAAAGTCAGGAGCCGTTAATTCCGCTGACCTTGGTGACCAGTTGACATCGTTATCAGTGAAAATCGTTATTTTACTTATTAACACGTTGACTGCCACCTTTTTTCGGTTGGTTTTATCCAGGAGGCAATTAGATGTATACTAAGTGACATATAAATCCGAACACCCAGTTTAAATGGTTTTATTTCAATAAAATTTTGTATAAGTACTTAATGAAGTATAATAAGTAAATGATAAAAATTTCAAAATGATTGCACTGCTTTAAAGCCCTTTGACCTTTAATAATGTGTGGATGCACCCTGATGTGCTACGCATTCTCCAACGCGCCTAGGCATGCTTCTGATCAGGTGGTCAATGTCCTCCTGTGGTATCTCATTCCAGGCAACCACCAACTCCTCTCGAAGTGCTTCTAGAGTCTGAGGAGGACGTTGCAAATTGAGCAATCTCCTACCCATCATATGCCACACGTGCTCAATTGGGGATAAGTCGGGCGATCTTGATGGCCATGGTAACAATGTGACATCATTATGTTGATAGAAGTCTATTGTGACGCTTGCAACGTGTGATCGGGCATTATCTTGTTGGAAAGTTGGATCTGCCAGGGTGTCAAGATAGGGTAAAAGATGGGGTTCTAGAACTTCGTGGATATAACGCTGCGCGTTCATGTTACCTCTGATGAATATTAAAGGTGACCTGGTACCATAAGCTATAGCACCCCAAACCGTAACTCCAACAGTGTGATGAACATGTCTTTCAACAAAAAACTGTGGATTCCTCCTTTCACCACGTCGCCTTCTAACCCTGGCACGACCATCATGCATGCCTAAACAAAATCGAGACTCGTCACTTAAGACAATACTGTTCCATTCCTGATCGCAGAGTGACCGTTGTCTGCACCACTCAAGGCGATTACGTCGGTGTTCTCGAGTTAAAGGGAGGACCCAGTGTGGCCGGTATGAAAACAAGCCAAAACTCGTCGGTAAACACTTCGCATGCCAATAGGTCTTCCGTGTTCTGCAAACCATTCATTTGCAATGGACCTGGTAGTGGAAAAACGATCCCTTAAGGTCAATAATCTTAGGCGGCGATCTTCACGGTCTGTTGTTCTACGGCGGCGTCCAGTGCCCCTTGCTCTTTGGGTACGGCCTTCTCGAAGCCATGCCTGACAACACCTAACCACAGTGTCTACACTTCTTTGCACTCTAACTGCAATTGCCCGAAAAGAAAGTCCAGCTTCCCGAAGTCCCACTATACGGCCCCTATCAAACTCACTAAGTTGACGAAATCGTACAGGTCTCAGTACTCTAGGCATCGTAACCGATCGTAAAGGATGTCAAGAACCAAAATCCGCCAACGTTGATTCTTTACTGCGGCTGAAATATTCATTTTTAGAGCGTTAAAAGCAGTATAAAAACCGGAATGTCCAACTGATAAGGCTGAAAATTTTTTCACCTGTTATTTACAGTAAGATAAATACATTCACCAACTTTTATTAAAATAAAACCATTTAAACTGGGCGTTCGGATTTATATGTCACTTAGTATAGTAGAATAAATAATAGATATAAATATGGGCACAAAACCAATTGTTTGTTTTGCTCAGGAATAAGGATGACAGAAAACGAGTTTCATCAACCATCGTCTTTTGGTGTTAACATTCTTACCATGGGCTAGCGTAGCAGAGTCCATACCCATTTGCCAACCAGCGATATTTGATTAACTTGAAACTTTTTAACCGTGTTCTAGAACATTAAATAACAACAAGGAGACACAAGACCAAGAAAGTAGGGAGGAGAAATTTGACAAGGAGATACCTGTATATAATTTTGTATGCACCCCAGAGCAACCCATCACGTGGGGTAGGTATTTTGCAACATTATGCATTTCCATTTCTGTCTGAGTATAGGTTTTCCGCATTGTACACTAAATCATTTATTGTGAATAGTGTATTTTTGTAGAAGAGTCCATACAGTACAAGACAATTGAAAAAAACACTTTTATGCTAAAGTATAATAGATTTTGAGAGAAATAAAACTGTTTTTACTCATTCTACCAAAAGCTTAAGCATTTCTCTGTTCAGTTTATAGATCCCATATTTCTATTTTAATTTTCTAGATGAATTCCAGCATTTGAGTACCAAACATGCCCCGCAAATACCAACGGACAAGATCGTGTGGCGTCACATGCTTTTCATGGTTAAGAACAAATATCTGTACAATGTGTTAGTGTTCCTGTTGCATACCATACCTGCATACTTAATCGATTTCATCATTATTTGTTTGGGAAAGAAACCACTGTAAGTATACGAAGTCGGTACGTTGAGAATTTTAGAATATAAAGGGGGATTCGCAAGTCGTGACCAAAAATGAAACATCATACATTCTATGTAACATTTTTTTCCTCGAGGGATTCATTAAGAAGATACACTATGTACAGGGTGACTTGTAATGTCACGTATTCATGTTAAGGGGTGATAGATTAGGTCAAAAGCAACCGCGTAGACGTAGTAGAGTCTTCCTGAAACACACGAGGGATTTCCTCTTCATCTTCAGGAGGATAGACTCGGGGTCGACCAGCATCACTATGTTGCCTTTGAACACGTCCGGATTGGCGGATGCGCCGATGCACAGAGTCAAACACAGCAACACGAGGTGTTCGGCGATTCGGGAATCGTTGCCGATATTCACGGCGGTCAGCTGCAGAATCGCCGTTACAAAGTCCATAACAGAACATTATGTCTGCGTATTCGTCATTTGGAAAAGTTTGCCCGTGCTCGCTATGGCCAGGAGGCGGATCTTCTGCGTCTGTCATGATGATAAAGAAACCACTCGAAATGAACTGGGAAACTCGAAAATAATAATCGTGCGTAAAACGTGTGCGCGTACGCAGTAGTTGATACCAACTAACCCTAATACTCACTCGGCGTGCGGCGATGGCGTAACTACAATGATGAATAATAACAGCTCCCTCCCTCTCTCACTCCTCCACTAAGTCAGCTCTTCTCGCTCGCTTCCTCGTCGAGCCGATGCCATAAAACAATCATGGCATGCGAGTCCTTTGAGGACAGTAACGACTTGTTCAAACAGGTAATACAAATTCCTTAAAAATCCAGCCTCTGTGGGTGTCATTGTTGTTTCTCTGCATGTACTTCAGATAATTGAACGCTTAATACCTCAAATGAAAGCTTGTTAGATAGAGATATTATTTTCATAATTTGCACGTTTCATTACTAGGAGATTTTTTACAGAAAATTGCATTTTTTATCGAATAAGTTAGTAAAAAAAAAGAAAATAATACATTCAAAAAGCGTAATTTTAAAACGTTTGTAGCTTTTCAACATTTTATTACTTATTATGAACTATTGGAATATTTTCTGTGCGACGATAACAAAAAACTCAAAATCAAACATGTAGTTTTTTTGTATTTCAATTTTAATCGTCTGAAATCGGAATAAAAGATAAAAAAATTAAAATTCAAATCACTGAAAAATGGTTAACTTTTGGATAAGACATAATAGGACGAAATCGGTTGCTTTTGTCCTAATCTATCACCCCTTAACAGGAATACGTAACATTACAAGTCACCTTGTATATAATATAATATTTGTTTTAAATATCTATTTAACATCTTTTAAATATTTTAAATACAATATTCCTTTTATAATATTCATTAAATATTTACTTTTCAATCAATGGAAAATGTTAAACCTCCAATATTTAGCGATCATATTTGTTTTTTTTTCTCAATTATAATTTTTACGCAAATTCTATAAATAGCGTGCACTCCAAATATGACTCGACGCCCTTTACTTATCGGTAGCATCCTTGATAACTTTTATGCACAAGAAGTTTGCTGGTGAAACATCAAGTTTAATTTACTTCAAAAAATTACGATGCGTATTACAACCTGACCCGTGCGCGCTATTAAATGCAAAAACCCAGCTGATGTAGGGTTACACTAACATGGCATCACGCATTAAATTTTGATATTAATTTCTGAGTTATCGTACAACTTTCAAAGTTTCCACTGTCGTATTTTATTATTATTATTATTATTATTATTATGATAATTGAGATGAGCAGAGTACACAGTACTATAAGCTCATACAGTAAATATAGTGTACGGACACGTAACACAAATACATCAAATAGAAAAAAATAAAAAAAGACAGTTCATAGATATAAAGTTTGTACACTCCTCCAGCTATCATACTGCACTTTGAAGCTATTAACTGAAGTAGCACCAACCACACTTTCAGGTAAACTATTCCAGGTGTTGAATATGCGGTTGGGAAGAAACCATTGTCGGACTGTTGTTTTAAATGGCTCCTTATGCAGTTTGAAGCTGTGTCCGCGTAGATTGCTGCGCGACAGACGGTATAGATGCATGAGGTTGGTGCCCATCAAACCATGAAGTAACCTGAACGTAACTATAAGATCGCCACGAAGTCTTCGCTCAGAGAATGAGGTCAGGTTGAATAATTCAAGGCGATCTTCATAGCTTGGTCTTCGTGCTCCAAAAGGGATACGAGTAGCCCGACGCTGTGCTGATTCGACGAGATTTCTATCGCGCAGAAGCACAGTGTCCCATACCGGGCCAGCGAATTCAAGAATTGGCCTCACGAATGCCTTGTAAATGTAGGCGCAAGTGTTGACATCGGATCCTTTGAAAGACCTCTCCAGCATGTATATAAGTTTCTTGGCTTTTGATGTAACGTGGTGAATATGCTCTGACCAGGAAAGACGATCGTTGACTACAACGCCCAGATCAGTGTGGCTGGAAACTGCTTCGATGTTGTGGTCAGAGATCTTGTATGTAAATCGCGGATTTGTCTTCCCGAGGTGAAGGACACAACACTTAGTTAGATTTAAGGGTAAAAGCCAACTGACTGACCATTGACAAACAATATCAAGATATCGTTGAAGCATAGCAGAATTTACGACAGTATTGTAAATCTTGGTGTCGTCGGCATAAGCTGAACATGTGGAGGAAATCAATGCGGGCAGGTCACTTCTATACAGAAGGAACAGCACTGGCCCCAAGACAGAGCCTTGAGGAACTCCACTTGCTACATGATGAAGGTGAGACTGGCTATCACTGACGCGCACAGAGAAACTCCTCCCTGTGAGAAAAGCCTTAACCCACAGTAACAACTCGCCTCTTATTCCCATATATTCCAACTTAAACAGAAGCCTTCTATTTGGTACGCGATCGAAAGCCCTAGAAAAATCTAAGTAGATTATATCAACAGGAGTCTTTGTGTCCAGATACTGAATCCAATCGTTGAGAGAGTGGAGAAGGTTGGTCATTATTGATCGACCAGGGAGAAATCCATGCTGATTCTTAGGGATAAGGTCATTTTCGAAAGCAAATGACAGGAGCTTATCTAATATGATTCTTTCAGCTATTTTGGCGGCGATAGGAACAAGACTTATTGGTCGATAATTTTTAGCGGAGGATTTGTCGCCCTTTTTGAATACAGGGGTAACAGAAGCACTAAGCCAGCATGAGGGTAGGGTATGAGATCTAAAAGACGATGTGAATGTCAAGCTTAATGGTAGGGCCAGTGCTGAAGCGCAGTTTTTAAGTACAGCAGCCGTCATCCCATCTTTACCAGGGGAGGAAGAGATCTTCAGATTTCGCAGGTGCATTAATACAACTTCGCAAAGGCTGTTGGGACACCTATGGCAGATAGTGGTCGGTAGAAGGTCTCCATTAGGCTCATCGACGAAGTCATCACTAAAGGACTCTGCCAGTAAGTTGGCAGATTCGGTGGCATCCATGTAGAGATGACCGTCAGCGTCGCGGATCTGAGGTGATGAAACTTGGAATTCAGGTTTGTTCTTAGATACCGAAACAGCTTCTTCTTATTTTTGGAGGTAACGAGTTTTCGTTCATAAGCATGTTTGGTATTATGTAACGTTCTAGATAGGAGGTTAGAAAAGGATCGATGAGACACGTAATCTTGTGAATGGCCACTCCTCCTAAACCGTTGCCACAAAGATCTTTTGTGACGAAGCATCCTCGATATGTTAGAGTTGATCCAGGGCTTTGAGGGGTCACAGTATACCTTCTTTTCAACAATATTGTCAGCCGTTTCGCTTAGGACTCGTTGAGCGAAAGTGTCCTACATATCTTGGGTGCTACGGTTGTTAAGCAAAGCAGGCCAGTTGACTTCAGACAGGGCTTGGTTAAGAGCATCGTGGTTTACAATTCTGATGGTTTTAAACTTATCGGTTGTAGAACGACTATTATATTGAACTGGAGAGAAGATAAAAGTGAACAGTGGTCAGACTTGCCAAAAGGTGGCAAATAATCTAAATTAGAAACAAAGTCGGCGTCGTTAACGAATATCAAATCCAGAGCCCTAGGCGTCTGTCCTTCCCTGAATCTCGTTGGGCGATCAACAAGTTTTGTCAGTAATTTATGTTATTCGCAAAACAGTTATCGTGCGCACTATTTGCCGTCTGTCCCCGATCATACCACTGCACCCCCCTAGTGCATATTGCCGACCGGGCCCTTTTCCTTAAATCCGGCACTGGTCCATCAAAAATAATTTTTTATCAAATTTGATCACAGCTTAAGCGCGCGCGAAGAAGTTTTTCCTACATCAAGCGGACCGCATAGGCAACCAGTCTCGCGCTATCATCTATGAGCTTAAATCAAAGTTGACGGATGCAGTGCTGCCAGTGTTTAGTAGAAAATACCAGCACGGCATCTATTTTAATTACAGATTTATGTAAGAGATTTGGAACTTTAAAAACGAACTAAATTCGCCTGGGCGAGCGGGTAATGAACCCCATGACGCCCCCCCCTGAATCCAAGCGTCAAAAATGCATTGACTCTACAGATATTGATGACTACATTTTTTCCTAGGTTGGTGAAGGGGTACCAGAAAATCAACAAATTCTCCGACGTCATCGCATATTTCTCCTCGAACGAATGGGAATTTAAAAACGCCAACACTCAAGCGCTGTGGAACCGCATGAAGAAAACCGATCGTCAGTTGTTCGAGTTCAGCATGAAACTGGTCAACTGGGACATGTACTTTTACACGTACACCAGGGGAGCGAGAACCTACTTGGTCAAAGATAAACTCGACGAGGACAGTTTGAGACGCGGCAAAGCGAAGTACTACAAACTATTTGTCGCTCATTACGCTTTGTGCGGTTTGCTCCTGTTTTTAGTCTTCAAGTTTTTCATGCTTATTTTCGGGCTTTTATTGTGAGTCACTTGTCAGATACGGTGTGTACATAGTTACTATTTAAGGAAGGCAGTCCGACGATCGGATTTATTATGATTCATTGTTTTATTTTTTGTGAGTATAGTCTGCGAATGGTTGGGAAATCTCGAAACTGGAGATACTACAGACTAAAATATGTAAATTGACCCAAACATACCTAAGTCCAAAAGTTGATAGTTTGCGAGAGATCAAAGTTACAATTTTATTTTCTATTTTTCCGTATTGCTTGAGAAGTATTTCAGATTTTGGCATAAAACTGGGTATAGGGTGGTTTTCTAGCATGATAAACAAGAATCCGTTATTTTTTATGCCCAAACTTCTAGAGGGCGCCACTTATAGCACTATTTCGGTAAATAATTTATCATAACTTTTTTGTGCTGCCCTGTATACAACAAATGATCAAAAGATGTCATTTGTTCGTATTTCCACAACAAAAAAGGTTTACTTGTTAGAACTGTCTAAAGCTAATAGTTTTCGAGATATCTGCTTTTTAAGGTTCCAATGCATTATTTGTACCATGTTGATAAAACATAATAATCAAGTTACTTCGGATAATATTTGAGTAGCGTTGCTATGGTTTCTAATGTTTGTCATAATATTTCCTTAAACTTTATGAATAATTTTAAGTTGACAATAAGTTGGATGAATATTCTGCTATGCATTTAATGTACGGATTGACTTTAGAAGCAAATATCTCGAAAACTATTAGCTTTAGACATTTCTAACAAGTAAACCTTTTTTGTTGTGGAAATACAAGAAAATAAGATTCTTTGGTCAGTTTTTGTATACAGGGTAGCACAAAAAGTTATGATGAGTTATCCATCGAAATAGTGTTGTAAGTGGCGCCATCTAGAAGTTTGGCCATGAAAAAGAACAGATTCTTAATTCTCATGCTAGAGAAGCTACCTATACCGAGTTTTAAGCCAACATCTGAAATATTTCTCAAGCAATAACGAAGAATAGAAAATAAAATTGTAACTCTGACACCCTGTATCTCACAAACTATCAACTTTGGACTGAGGTATGTTTAGGTTAATTTATATATTTTGGTCTGTAGTATCTCCAGTTTCGAGACTTCCCAACCTTTCGCAGACACCGTGTATATCTTAGCTGCAACTTTTTTTAACCTAGATATCTCTGGTACAATTTCAAACAATGCTTTTCAAAAAGTTACTTATTCTTGATAGAATCAAGTTAGCGTGTTGAATACTACACTACTCAAAAAAAAAATTAGCTAAACAAGCAAAGAATTGTCATTTTTCGGTGATTTTTGAGAGGCTGTATTTCCGTGAAAAATGGTCGTATCTTTACTTAAAAAAGCATTTTAAAGCTTTAAAATTCCTATTTTCAGGTTTTCATGCAATTTTTACAGAATTTTTTGCAAATTTTTTCTCCATTGGTTTGAAATTTTTTTGCTGTTTGGCGCTGAGATATCTGATTTGATACTGAAACAGGAATATATTGTAACATGTTTCCAATTGTTTTTTTTTTAGATTGAACATGTTACAGATATCCAATAGTGACAACAAAAGAAGAAAAATGATTTTTACATTTCCAGGTGTTTTACTACAAAAATTTTGCTCCTTTGACTTTTTATTCTTATTAGGGGTAAGTTATGAAAACCTGAAAACATTAACCTTCTAATTAGCAGTTCCAAAAATGCTCTAGATTTTCCAAAAATAACTTTTTTGACCTTTTCAAGATCAATACTAAGTAAAAAAAAACTCTAAAGATTACAATCAAATTTTATTGGAGATTTATTCGAATTTTCGGAAATACCCTGCCATTCTCTGCGCGATTACTGATTACCGAGATATCAGTGGTGGATGACAAAACAATCCTTTTTAATTAAAAATCAGATATCTCCGCGACAAATGATCGCATCGATATTGTAAAAATATTAAAGCTGAATAAACGCACTCTCTGATCAAGGTCATCACAGCCTAACAGAAGAACATTTTTTAAAGCCTGCGGACCAAGAAGAAATCAAGAACCTCTCAAAAAAGTTTCTTGTGCCAACTTGAAAACTAGAATATTAGAGCTTAAAATAGTTTTACTAAAGTTCGATACGACCATTTTTCACGGAAATACAGCCTGCCAAACATCATCGATTTTTTTTCTTGCTCCCTTAATTTTTTGTGACTAGTGTATATCTTGGCGTATATACTTTGTATTGAATATTTCCATTTAAAGAAGTTGTGGTATATGTTGCAGCTAAGGTTGCACGCCATATTTAGGCACGTATTTTGTCCTGCAACATGTTGCGTATTGTCTCCGTATCAACAAACTGGCGCTTTACATGCAATATGTTGCGGCTTAAATTTGTTGCAATGGAAACATGCCTTTAAGCGTTCATTGTTATTTATTAGCAGGCAGTGTCTGATATAAAGTGCTTTTCAAACTGCGACAAATAGTCTATTATAGGCGGATGATCATCTTAAAAGAAACACTTTTTTAATGAAAAAAGAAAACAGCAGAAATAACATATTAAAGTTTAAAATGTGTTTGTTTAACATTTTATTAATAAAGATACATACAAAAAAGTTATACGTAATATAGAAATTTGCATTTTTTCAGAATTTGATACACATATTACAGGCATACGTACTGTGTAAAAACCGTGAATTATTTGGTAAAAAAGCAAGTAATTTTCATTTGAACAGATTGTTTTTTTGTATAATTATTTAGAACAGCAAGTTGAATTTTATTTAATTTGGTAAGTGTGTCTGTACTGTCTTTTTCTTGCTGAAAATAACGTTGCAACTTTTTTACGCAGTCTAATGCCTCCTCACTGGAAGCTCTTTTTCATCGTTATTTTCTAGTTCGTCTTCCTGTTCGTTATCAACGGTTCCTTCATTAACCAAATTGGAGTGTTTCTGTGTTGCTATTAAATTATTGTCAAATTAACATACATTTGTCTATATTCAGTAAAGTATTCATTTTCAGTAAATCACTTAATGGAATTTCATCGTCTGGATTAAAATCGTTGACTGTTTCAGTCATGTTTTTCTCTAAACCAGCATGGCGTAAACAATTACGAATCGTTTTTGAAGTAAGCAATTCCCATGCAATAGTAAGCAAATTTATAGCATCTAAAATCTTGACAGCTTTGGAATTGTTCACATCTTCTTGAAGCTCCATAATTCATCAACATATGTTTCCGATACATTTGCTTAAGACTCCAAATCAACAAGAGCATATTTCACGATTTTTCTTAAAAAGTTCATCGTCCCACTTTTTTTTTATATATTTACAAGCTTTATTATTTCCAACATAATCGACGGGAATTGTTTTAACATTTTTGAAACGGTACTGTTGCATCTGGTAGAACTTCGAATTTGTTTTTTCCGATAGATTATTTTAAATGAAAAAAAGTGTGGATGAAGCACGCTTGTCTAGAACATTTTTTCCCAAACACTGTATTTTTAGCAGTTATCTTCATCATTATTTCCACCGCCATCGGCCATATGACGTTGACGTATGTGCATATGTCATGTATGAGAGGCGCGTGCCTGCGGTGTTGCCGCATTTAAGGAAAAATATGGAAAGTGGAAAATTTATAATACATATATTAATTAATATAAAATAACGATCGTTAGCTAAAAAACAATGAATTGTCAATACTTATAACAAATAAAAAGTAGTAAAACAAAAAACACTGTTACATGTAATTATAAAAAACAAATAACAAACAGTAAAATAAAAAGCGTTTTTTCATAATTACATGGAATTGTTTTTCATTTTACTACTGTTTTTGCTTTTTGTTTCTTGTTATCACTTAGAATAGCTTTCTACACCTTGTTTTACTGTTTACTTTTATAATTACATGGTATTGTTTTTTGCTTTAACACTGTTTTTATTTTTTGTTTCTTATAATTATTTACAATTTATTGTGTGTCTGCTTACTACTGTTATTTTTTGTTTTATACTTATTAAGAACTGCTTTTTATTTTGCTATTTTTGTTTGTTTCAGTTTTTCCTTTTTGTGTTTCATTGATTAACATAAATGTACATATATAATTTTCCACTTTTCATTTTCCCTAAATGCGCAGCCCAATCCGGCAACACTGCAGGTAAGCGCCTCTCCTAATATGACATATAAAGAGGGTAGTCCGACAGATTATTTTAAATGAAAAAAAGTGTAGATGAAGCACGCTTGTCTACGAGTAGAACATTTTTTCTCTCAAACACTGTATTTTTAGCAGCTATTTTCACCATTATTTCCACCGCCATCGGCCATATGACGTTGACATCTGTGCATATGTCATGTATGAGATGCGCTTGCCTGCGGTGTTGCCGGATTGGGCTCCGCATTTAGGGAAAAATATGAAAAGTAGAAAATTTATAATACATATATTAATTAATGAAACCACAAAAATAAAAAGCGATTCTTATAAATATTGAACAAAAAATAAAGATAGTAAGATAAAAAACAATAAATTGTCAATACTTACAAAAAATAAAAGGTAGTAAAATAAAAAAAATATTCCATGTGATTATAAAAAACAAATAAAAAACAGTTAAATAAATTTTTTGTTTTATAATTACATGGAATTGTTTATCATTTTACTATTGTTTTTTCTTTTTGTTTTTTGTTATTTAGAATAGCTTTCTATTTTACTGTTTATTTTTTATAATTACATGGCATTGTTTTTTGCTTTACCACTGATTTTTTTTTTGTTTTTATAATTATTTACAATTTATTGTGTGTCAGCTTACTACTGTTATTTTTTGTTTTATACTTATTAAGAACTGCTTTTTATTTTGCTATTTTTGTTTGTTTCAGTTTTTCCTTTTTGTGTTTCATTGATTAACATAAATGTACATATATAGATTGTTCACTTTTCATTTTCCCTAAATGCGCAGCCCAATCCGGCAACACCGCAGGCAAGCGCCTCATATATGACATACGCACAGACGTCAAAGTCATATGTCATGTGAAAATAACTGTTTTCTTAAAAAGTACAGCGTTCCACTTTTTTTAAATATTTCCAAGCTTAATCGACGGGAATTGTTTTAACATTTTTGAAACGGTACTGTTGTCGAACTTTGAATTTCGCTATTTTTTCACTTGAAACTTATAGTGGGTAGTCCGACAGATTATTTTAAATGAAAAAAAAGTGTAGATGAAGCACGCTTGTCCGCGAGTAGAACATTTTTTCTCTCAAACACTATAATTTTAGCAGTTATTTTCACCATTATTTCCACCGCCATCGGCCATATGACGTTGGTGTCTGTGCATATGTCAAGTATGAGAGGCGCTTACCTGCGGTGTTGCCGGATTGGGATCCGCATTTAGGGAAAAATATGAAAAGTGGAAAATTTATAATACATATATTAATTAATGAAACACACACACACATATATCCTTGGAGCGGAACCTTGTTTTATTTGGGTTGAAATATGAACAAAAAAAAACTGCTTCACTCCTTTTCACTTTCTGTCCCCCAGGGTCATCCCCTTAAATATTTTAAATGACAAGGGAGTAATAGCTTGTTTGAAAGGTATTTCGAAGTCCTTTATTTTGATATTTGAAAAATCTTTATTTAACTTAGATATAGAAAACACAAACACACGAAAATGTCACTTTTTATTTCAATAAGTGTTCAAAATGTTGCCCGTTATTGTCCAAACAATGGTGTAGGCAATGTCCAAATTCCTGACGGACATTTTCAAAAACATGTGGGATATCACGGCTCGTTCGAAAAATGAATAATGGATGCTTTTGTGAGAAGCACTGAATTGTCTTTTTATTTGATATAATGAAAGAATTCAATAGATCTCCAATTAGTATTGGTGATATTTATTTACAAGCGTTTTTGTATGTGCGTTGAGTTAGAGTAATGTAACGTTTTGTAATCCTTTGTTTGGTTTATATTAATAAAAATAAGTTTATTTGAATCAGTTGTTTTGTTTGACTCCGTCAACTTCAGGGTAAGTATTTACTTTTGCAAAAAGGCTTAGCATTTTCAAAGAAAATATGAGAATGAGCATCATTTAGATCGTCAATCGTTGTGTTTTTCTTATTCAGCGCTCTTGTCGGAATTCGTTTAGCTCAATTAAAATAATTTAACGTACTGGCTGAAATAGAAGTTTTAGGTTACAGATAAAAATAAACCCGAGAAATAGGCAGTGTTCTAAATTGATTAGATCGTGGTGATCTCCCTCAAAATCCTGTTGGATCTTAAAATTTGCATATTTAGCTTGATTTTGTGTGAAATTTTGAGACTTTTTGGGATTCCCCGCCTGGAAAATTTGCTATCTCCGTTTTTAAAAAAGTTTTAACAGTGAGACAGCAAAGGGCTTAGCATTTTCAAAGCCATACGCAAATATGAGCCTGAGCATCATTTGTTCATTTATTTATTTATTTATTTATTTATTTCCAACAGGTGAAACCCAATTACAGG